AAATTATATTTTAATGGTATAAAGATTATAAATTTCAGATTATATTTATGTTATAAATTTCATATTTTATGAATTATAAACCTAGGGTTTCAATTTATTGAAAATCATGATTTTAGGGTTTTTATGAACAATTGATTTAGGGCTTTTATAGTAATGATGTTTTGAAATTTTGGTGATTATAACTACTGATTAGTTTAACTTAATTCCAGATTATTTTGAACACGTAGATTCGTGTTTTAATTTTTAGATTTTCGTTCGTTAATATTAATCCCGTTTTAATCCCGATCAGATTCTGAACTCATCCGATTTTGATGAAAAAGTAGTGTTTTTCATGTGGAAACAACGTTTTAAGAAAGAGGGTTAATAAAATTCAGCCTCTAAATATGATTTTCGGGCAGTTTTTGATTTTATCGAAGTTTTTTATACTTAAAATATTAACCTTGAGTTTGATTAATAAAATTAATTATGTTTAAAGTTAATTAAGCATAAATATATGTTTTTATTGAATTTTTAAGTGTTGAAAATAGTTTCTAAGTACTAATTTTAATGTTTTATAAAGAGGGTTTAATCACCCATTAAAAAGGGAGATTTTTAGGGGTTTTTATGTAATTTTCAGATTTTTATTAGACTTTGAACTTGTTGTAATTTCATGTATAAGAGTGTATTTTAAGGTTTTTATGAAGAAAATTTAAAGAACTATATATAAGCCTTTAATTTTAACTAAAGGGAAGGTTTTAAAGTGTTGTTTGATTTGGATTTTGAAGGTTTTAAAGTAAGTTAGTATTGCTATAAATTTGATTGATTGGGTATTGATTGAGATGTTATTATTTGGCTTAGGCGAGGAGTTTATTGAAGGTGATTTCTAGTTAGTAAAGTGGCATACCAATTCGTTTGCTCAAGGTACGTACAAGTTAAGAAACCTTTCTTTTAGGTGAATGTTTAAGGACGACGGATCGTGAACTTAGTATCATGTATAGGGATGACTGAGTTAAATTGTTTGGTTATACATTGTGTATTTCGTATGACGTGCACTATTTTATATTGCAAGTATTATTTGTGCTCTAATTATGCAAGGTGCGCTTAGAGGCAAAGGTATATGATTGGTGTAATGATTAATTTATTACTCATTCATGATTATGCAAGCAGGTTGAGTAAAGAAAGAATTTAAGTCTTCTAAGACGAGGTTAAGGTTTTGGGGTGCCTTATGCACTCAAGGTGTTTATACACCGAGGTAGTAAAGGAATAAATAATAAATGTTGCTTGCCACTAATAAATCAGAATTGAAATGAAAAGTTGTTTTACTTGATTGAATTGATATTGGATTGATTGTACTGTTATGCATATGAGTCATCACCAAGTCTAAAATTGTAAATCACGTAAAGTGCAAGATGGATGAGCAATAAAACTCTGGATTGGTGCACTTCTGGAGTAATGACAGGGGTTGGGGTACATGGGGTATTAGCCGTGTACTTTTCTCGAGGCTGTCTGATCTACAAGTCTCTTATTTCAAATATATTTTTTTTAAAAACTAGGAGTTAGGTGAGATCTCATACTAACTACGGTCACGGAGTCGCGCCCGTGGTCGTTGGATGTTTATTGATGTTTCCGAAAGGAGGCATGAGGTTTTTCTTTTATTGATGTTCCAAATGGAGCATGGGTTGGACAACCTTGTCTATTGCGTATCCAATGAATAAAAATAATGATTTACCTATTATTAACTAATGGAGTCTTAGTAATATAAGTAGTTGAGTCGTGTGTTGAGTCTATAATTTAATGATGCATGATGATTGATTATTAGTAGCATGTTATGGATTTCTTAATTTATTTTGCAGCTTGTATGTACTCAGCTTTGAAGATTGCGTGTTTTGTGTGTCTTTCTTTGGTCATGGCCTTCGCCTTTCAATGACCCTGTGACGATCCAATTTTTACACTTGTAATATTGGGGAGCAGAATTACCACAGCTAGGTTCTTACACATGCAGCATTCATCAGGGTTGTGGGATCTTAAGTAGAGAGTTGGTTGTTTGCATTTTATTTCTTTTGCAAGTTTGATTTATTTCAATTCGATTTTATTCAACACTATTTATTTTGGGTTTGAATTTATTTGAACGCTGAATTTAATCACTTACTACTTTTTATTGGGTTTTGAATAAGGGCCTTAATGGTTCCAAGTTGTATGGCTTAATTTGGTTTCATTCGTTGGTTTTAAAACTTATTTATAACTGATTTAGTTTTTCCGCTGCTATTTTCTGATAAAGCCTTAACGTTTGAACACGTGGCGGTAGCACGCTAGTAATTCTCTTGAATATTGTTCAGGGTCTTCACAGGTTTAAAGAGAGAATTATTGGGGTGTTACATCAGGTCAATAACAAGTCGGGTTGATTTCGGGTCGGGTTTGTAAAAGGTTGGTTTAAATTCGGGTCGGGTTAGGAATGGGTCGGGTTGAATTCATGTTAGGTTAGTAACAAGTCGGGTTAAATTTGGGTTTTGACGTGTTAAAACGGGTTTGGGTCAATTTCGGTCCAACTCGGGTTCAGTTCAGGTCAATAATTTACGGGTTACATTCGGGTCGGGTCATCTCCGGGTCAGTTCATGTTCGGGTTCGGGTCTCACATACTCGGGTCAACTCGGGTCTAGGGTTGGTTTCAGGTTGGGTCATGTTGGGTTTGGATCACCATTTTTTTCGGGTTCAGATGGATCGGTTAATAAAAGGGTTTGAGTTGATATTTCGGGTCGAGTCAACTTTTGACAGCTCTAGTATAGTCTATCGAACGTGAAACTAACCTAAAATAATTACAAGGTAACTTGAGATAATTATTGTTCATGTTGTTTTGTTTATAATAAAAATTACCGTACAAAATTTATTCCTATAAACATACTAGAATTTAGGTTAAAAAAGTATAGTACATTGAACGTAACCAAAAAAAATTGTTATAATTTTGATAAATTTTGAAGGAATTTTCTAGTATATAGTTTTAGTTATATATCTGTTTCCTATTTTACCTCTTACACCTATATTTTTTTTAATATTGGTTGTTTATCTTTTTCCTCTTTTCTCTATAAAACTCTTGTCAATGTGAATTTTTTCACTGAGGTTAGTTCACTCCCTTTCCCATCAAAACCGATCGATAATATTGTATGCCGATAAAGATGGGTAGGAGAAGTAGAGTAATGCATCTCGTTGATTACAAACAAGATGTATATGATTCTTTAAGTGCAGATGTATATGATTCTTCGACTGCGAAGGTTCATAGATTGAGAAGAAAAAGTAGTAGATTTAATAATCGAGGTGGAGGAAGAAGGCCGCAGATATATACTTACACCTCATTCAGAGACATTCTACCCCGCTCGACTAAAAGAACTCCATGGTGGAAGAAGCTTTTGGCACGTCCTTCGCCCGACTTTGAAACAAACTTGATCGTTAACCAAGATCGTATTTTGACATCTCACTCCAAATCACCTTCCAATTCAAAGAAGATGAATTTTGTTAACAAATTTTTCAAGAGAATGATAGTTATGTGTTTCGGTGCTGCCGAGGATAAGTAGTCCTCTATCTTCTTTAATTACGCTACCACTGTCGTTACTGTTTAGAGTAGGTTAATTGCTAACAACTAGATGTATGTTAGTATTCAAATTTAACCTAGCTAGTCTCCCATTCAATTTGAATTTAATTTGATTCTAAAACTTATGTATAGAAATTTATCTAATAAATAATCAAGTGTTTCTTTGTCTTCGTCAATTGCTAACAATTTGATCATTATTTTGATTTATTTGTTGTTTATTATATCTTGAATTAAGTATATTTACAATTTCTATGTAAATTAATTTAAATTCTGATCTGTATTAATTTTAATTATATGGGCATAATCTAATTAGATCAAAACTTTTATGTTCCAAAAAAAACACATCAAGATTAAAACTTTTGAACGCACCCTTTTCGGCAACTTTGTATATGGTTTTTGGGTAGCTCGATTTTATAGGAGTTATAAGTTATTATTATAATAGGTGAATTTTATTATATATCACTAGATGGACAATAATTTACTCTGCATTATATTAGGTTAATAGGTTAATTTCTAAATACTGAATTTTAATATGTATTGTACATAGCATAGTGGTGTAAATGAGGGATATATTTATGCACGAACTATAATATTCTTGAATATAAATGAACAAATTAAAGCTCGAGCATGCAATATCATGTTCGACTCAATAATACTCGTGAATAACTCGTTTAAACTTAATAATACCCTTGATTAACTTGTTTGAATTCATTGATAAGTTTGTTCACGATAAATTGTAACTAGGTCAAAGCTCGCTGTAAGTTCGAAAAATGTCTATTAGTTTAATATAATTATTTAAACCACAAAATATTGCTATCTTTCCAACATTACTTTTTCTTCTATAGAAAGAATGGAAGCTTATTAAATTAAGTGGATGCACTAATACTTAAAAGAAACATGAATTGCTTTTTGATGACAATTGAAGGCTTGTTCAAGCTCGAGCTGAGCAAAGGTCGAATATGAAAGAATAATGATGGCTAGATAAATGAGTTTTAAGTCCATCTCTTTGAGGTGTAATTATCAAATTAAAGGGGACAAACCTTTTTGATAGAAGTTCACATGAGAATGAAGTAAGACAGAAACCCTTGAACAAGCTAACATATACCAACATACTATATAGTACATACAGTACACTGTAGCTTAATTTAGTTGCTACTTGTTCTAGGCTAAAATAAATGTAAATCTAATAATAGTAGAGAGTAATAACTAATAACAGATGCCTTATATTACATGTAAAGTTAAAAAGGAGTCAAATGTACCTCATGTTCGTCATCATAGTATATGTCTTCCAATTCACTCCTATTTCTTACTCTCATATTCTATTTCACTCTTCACCCTTTACAACGCACTCAGCAACTAACTCAACAACATTTCCCATCTCCTACCGCTCCATCCCCTTTATAAGCTTTCATCTCCGGATCTACGAGATCGATCCATCATGTCCCCATTCAAGCGGAAGAAACTCTTCAAGAACCTAGGCTTAGGCTGTGGCTGCGCCTCTACCACTAACTCCAATGCTACTTATGTCTACGAGCCCAAACCCATAATACCCAAAATCAAGCCTAGATCATCCATTGTTTCCTCTTCCAATGATGAAGAGACTTACATCTCCATATCCCCTTCCACCTCTTCCATCCTCTCATCTAATTGGCACAGTTGCAATAATGAGAATATAGATAAGAAAATGATTACTACGACAACCTCTGCCTCAGCAGCATCACCATCCGCTTCAAGGAGATGGAATATGGAGGATCAAAAAAGGCAAACTACTGATAGTATTAGCACTACTGCAGTGGTGATGGAGTCTGAGAATCCTTACGATGATTTCCAACAGTCAATGTTGGAAATGATAACAGAGAATCAGATATTTTCTGCAGAAGAACTCCTTCAACTTCTCCATTGTTTCCTAAGCCTTAATTCTCCTGCTCATCACCATCTCATCCTTTGCGCCTTCTTCCAGGTTTCCCAGTATGCCATCGTTTCTTCCTCAAATTAAAAATCCTCCAATGTCATAAATGCATATATATTGCATGGAGTACTATACATACTAGTATGTCATATCCCACACCTTGAATTACATATACTGGTATATACATCCTATCCTTATACCACGGTCATCACCGGCCCGTTGATATAAGCTAAAATATTTTAGCTTGTTAACATATTGATTTACAACGATCATGTGAATAAAAGCTTATTCCATACATAACTTCTTTCATTTTTTTTTTTTTTTTTAATTAGTTTTTAATCTTTTTGTGTCTTTTGTTTTAAATTTGAACCTTGCATTTAAAGTGCTACTTTGATCCATGCTGTGTTCTTCTTGCACGCAACTGTTCTACTCCTAACATGGCCTTCAGTAGGCCCTGCATAGTATTTTTGTAAAGCAACAGATAAAATTTATACTACGTATTTGATTGTCATGACGACGTTGACAAAAGTAATTCCGCCCCATATAAGGTAATAAGGCAGCATAAAAGCTTTCTATATAAACAAGTTATGATAAATCTTAAGTAAGGTGGACTTTTTTTTTTTTTTGACACATAAGTAAGGTGGAATTAATATATACTACCTCCGTTTTTTTTAGTTGACACATTTTGACTATAGCACTATTTACACACTCCTCTTTGACCGTATTTTGTACTTTATACGTAATGAAAAATGTGGTTATATGAAATCTTGTTAGATTCATCACGATAAATATTTTTAAAATATCAACTTTTCATAATTTTTGCTTATCGATAATCAAATATATGAATGGTTAAAATTGTGCATTGACAAATGTGACTAAAGAAGTGGAGGAAGTATAACTTCTTGTAAACCGTGAATTATTAAAAGTTGTTATATACGGCCATGTATACAAGAAGTTATTGTAGGCCAAGTCTACTTAATCTAAGATTTTTTTTTTTTGCCTTGTTAATGAGGGGTTGGTATATTTGCATCATGATTTGACCTCACAAGTTGAAACAATTAATAATTTTTCAAAAGATCGAAGACAACATACCAAATTAAACATTAATAATAGATTACTACTACATAAGTTGTTTTATTTGACCTACAAAAATACTTAATTGGCCAACGTACTTGTTAGTTAGCTATTAAATGTGTTCGTATTAGGAAAAGAAAAAGAATAATATGGATGGATTGGAGTTCTATGTATCTATTTACTTCCACCTTCCTCTAATCATAATTTAGACTCAAAACACATTAAAATAATCACATATGAAGTATCATATAGCAGTAGTCAAATTGAAGAGGTTGGATAGTTGATGGTCAACTGATGGATACCGGCCATCGTGCTACAAACCTAATCAATGACCTCTTGAGGGAAAAAGTAGTGCTTTCTAAGCTTTCTTCTAAATTATGATTCACAATGATAATAATTGGTACGGTGGCCCAACTCGATCATTTGGTGGCTGAAAACAAAACTAAACTTAACTCTTCAGAATTACCTCCACTCTATTCAATCCTAAAACTTGGATAAAGGATGAGCGTCACAGTAGGCTAGTGACAGCCAGTGCAAAACTTTGTCACATCGTTTGAAATGAGCCACAATGATTGAGAGTAATATTAGGAGAAGTCCTCATGTTGGTTCATGTAACCGACCGCACTTATGGGATTAAAGCGTTTGAGCAGAAGAAGTATCCAATCCTAACTTATATGGCTTATACTAATTTAACTATATAGCATGACATTTTGTGAGAAACTACCTTATAAAGCATTTTTTTGCGAGAAACTACCTTATAAAAAAAATGTTGTAAAATACTACCTTATAAAAGGCTAAATGTTGTAAGATACTACCCTTGGTTGGAAAGTGAGAGTTGACTTAATTTTTCCGGCATTGACAAAGTCATGTGCCGGTCACGTGACATTTAATTCATTTTTCCCCAGCCTATCCATATAATACCCAAGATGAATTAAATAAATACAAGTGTAATTGTTAAATAAATACTTAAAATTCCTTGTGCATATCCAATATTTTTTAGTAATGGACCCTAGTGCCATAAGCTGATCATTGCTTGCCTTGTAGAAATCAAGCAATTTAAAGTAGAACCCAACTTACATTCTTAAACAGGAAGCCCTGTCAGAAGTTCTCTGCTGCGGTAGTTCAGAGTTGGCAATTGGCATGTTTATTACTTCTCATTTGAAGTTGCAACTTCTGTTGTTGATCGCCTTAGTGCAGTAGATGTAATTGTATTCTTTGTCGTCTCAATCTTCCTATTGAAGGAAGTGATCATGAAACCAGCAGAACACTTGTTATAAGCAGTACTTGTCCAAGAAAGCTACCTGATGGACCAAATGCATGCCAAGAAACAATCTTAAAATAAAGCTGACGAGTAACTTATAGAAGCTAAGCAGCCTAATTTGAACGTTTAATTGTCTCTTATAGCATGCAAGTTGACTAAGTAGGTGTATCATGCACGGGAAAGTTCAATTGTGTAGAAATTTAGACGTGTTTTGTATGTAATTTGTACTTGGTAAAATGAAGTTGTTTTCATCCTCTTTGTAAAATTACGTTCAGTTATGTCCTTGCCGTGTTATTGATCAGTCAATGAAGAATCCAAACTTTGGCTAGATGAAACTGATGATACCATACATCATACATGGGTTTATTATACAAGTAATCTTTAAATTGGATCGGACAAGAAACTCCAACGACGATTATATATGATCTTAACACAATATGTAGTAAATGAATATTATATTGAAATATTGAAGCTAACTTAGAGTAATGTACAAGTTTACAATATTGATTGATAAGTTGATAAGATGGTTGATCATTTACTTTAATGACTAAAGAAAGAATCAATGAATAGAATAATAATTAATACTGTATGTGTATTGTTGATCATGTTTCTAGAGGTCTAATCCATAGATAACACCAGCGTGATATTCGGGGAGATTATTAAGAAAATAAAGTTGAACCATCTTCTGAAATGCGAGCCAAGTTAGCAAACTATCGGAGCCAGCTTGATGGCACTTGCCAACAGCACGCTTGACTTGGAGAGTCTTAGCAACCCTATCTAAACCACCATACAAGCTCTTGCAGAACTTCATCATATGCTTAATATCATAAACACGGTACCCGAAAAACACTCTGGTCAGTCCTAAGAAGTCGTCCAAATTGGACGGCAGGTTGCGGCGCGTCAAGATTTTAATCAAGTAACCAAAATCGTAGGCGCTGTGAAAGGTAATCCAGGTGACGGAGTGATTGCAAACAAGACCAGAAGACATGATGAGCTGGGCAAAGTTAATGGAGTCAATACCTTCCTTCTTATTCCTCTCGAAGTCAATACCTTGTTGGGTTAGCAAGTGGATGGAATCATGCGCGTGTGGATCACGCTCTATGTCGAAGTCTGAGAAGTTGAACTCCCAGATGTACTGATTGGGAGTACCCAGATTCGGGAGATTACCAGAAGCATCGGACAAGGTAAGGCCCACTTGGATCAGATTTAAATCGTCGACGTTGGATTTCAGGAGCCGGTACAGATCACGGGAGGAGGGACGAGGATGAGGATGCTTCTTGTTGTTGTTGGTGTGAACTGGGGCAGGTCGATGGATGACCCCAGGAAATTCAGTATCCATAGAAATAAAAGGGTAATCATCGATTAGATTTCTGATTAATTCAAACTCAGAATCTAAATTAGAAGCCCAGACTTCCCTGATTAGAATCATCTTCAAGACAGTAAATTAGATCAAGTGATGGATGATTAACAGTGTAGTAGATCTGAGGAGATACAATTATAGCCAGTATGAAATGAATGAAGAGGTAAAGGAGAAGAGAAGAATGAAAAATGATTGATGAGAGATAAGGGAGGTGGGAGATATATATATACAGGATAAATTAGAGTGAGTGACTAAGTAGTTGCAAGGCAAAAATGGAAGTTACAAAGCGAGTGAGTGAAGAGAAGAGAAGAGAAGAGGCTGCTTTGTTGCTTTCAATAATGGGGAGCACAGTCGCCAACTTGGAGAGTTATTCGTTTAATTGCAATCCGTGTAATAATAAGTTTTTTTATGTCCATATTCAACGCGCCTCACTTTTGACCATTTCATCAATTTCTTATTGGTCCACACTTGACTATTCTATTTTGTTCATTAACTACACTATTCTGTGTAATTTTTTGTTGCACGTTTTCATTTGTGAAATGCTCGTAGGATATCTTTTTCTAATCTATCAAAATAATAATGTCACTATCAAACCAAAGTTGATACTGAACCAGCCTGCCTTTGATGAGAACATGGAGTATCAATATGCATAATCCCAATTTATATTCTACTGCAATTCCAATTGATTTTACAATTAACAATATCATGCCAACTTGTTCAACACTCCTTTGCTTCGCTTCACCTTTTACTCTTTGTCTTGTCATTTACTACATGATCTACCTCTAAACACAACCAATTTGCTTCTCCTTTTTTTTTTTCAACTTTCCCTTTCCAAATATCTGTTGTACAGAGTATTGCATTGAACTTTAATCATTTAAACATGTGCTAATCTTTTAAATGCACATTTTATACTGTTCTTATTGCCTTTACCTCCGTTTTTGCTCAACCTTGGACCTCTGAAGCCAACATCTTACAAATATAAAGTCTATAGACACAATCTTAAATGATAATCTTAAAGAGACATACTTGTATTAAAGAGAAAAAACTCAGGGAGGGCCATGGCACAATGCCAAAGTGTAGAGCACGCTGATGTTGATGTCGTTACTCAAGGCCATCCACAAGCCTATTGGAGCAGTACTGCAGCCCACGCCAAGACATGCATGGGAGATCAGGTGGTCCGAGTGTAAAGGCATGACATGGCCAACAATATTGTCAAGTCCAAAATTGAGTAATTGAACCCAAATTTGAAGGCTATAATACACAAAATCATATCAACTTGAAGGTTGGTTTGGGACTCGGTAAAAAAAAAAAAAAAAAAAACCGGGGATACATCCCAAGGGCATATGATGTTGTAATAGCATAGACCATGGTTCAGCCAACAAGGCTTTCCATGTTACAGAGTCCCAATTTATTGTTATAAATATGTCTTACATAATCACATTGTAAAACTTTACTCAACATTCAACAATATGAATATGCAAGCACTTTTTCCTTCCAAGAATTCCATATCAACGGCATAAATAATTTAACTACATACTGATTATATAAATCTATTAAGACCCTTCAGACTTCTGCCCTTTTAAGAATTTTCAGCTTGGAAGGTCAGCTAGAAACAAGTTCCTTCTGCAGGTTGAACAAGTTTTCGGTTGTGAGGTGCAGCCATTTCTTTCCTCAGCTGAGTCAGAATGTCCTCCATAGTAAACTCTCTCTGCCAATTCGCCAGCATCCCAAACTTTGTCGGTTCAACCTGCCACCCATATATGTTGTTCATAAGACCAAAGATGACAATTTAAGGCTCATTAAATATAACACTACTCCACTTCAGCATGAATCAGCCCCCTATTTGATTACCTGCACATCACATTAACACTTATAATTAACTACCTTCTTTCTCTAGGAAGATAGAATGACCAAGCAATTCACCTACGAGCTAGCTAAAATATATTTAGACCATCCATAATCAGGTGACACCACATGACACCATATAAACACAGGCAGGCATTCAACTAATTCCTACATAAGAAACATATGATAAAACTACATTCTACCAGCTGCAATAATCTCCGAATCAACATAAAAGTGTTGGTAAAATAACTGTTGAAATCAATAACAAACAAAAAGATTAGAACTTTCCTGGATTGAAGATCCCAAACTCACAGTCGCGCCGTGGAACAAAATCCACTGCCTTAGAAGCGAAATACGCCACCACTGGTACAAGTTTCCTAGTGACGCCCACCCCCCAAGTTTAACGCAACTCTCTCCGTAATCCGTGCACCCGAACTCAAAGAGTGGAATTGCTCAAGAACTGTTCAGATCTCAAAAGGTAGGTTTGTGCTTTCGGCTAGAAAGTGAATGAATCTCATGAAAAAGGCAAGACTCGTATTTATACGAGTCCCGGAAAAGGAAACACGTAAAACAAACTGACCTAGGAAAAAAGACGGGCCCGATCAGGCAAGCTGCCGTCCGATCGGGCGCGAGATCGAGTTTCTCCAGACGTAATGTCGCGCCCGGTCGGGCGATCTGAAAACCCCATCCCGGGCGAGCCATCGGGCGAAGCCGCCCGATCGGGCTCGTCAAAAACTCGAGTCCGCCGCCCGATCGGGCGCGAGAGTTCTCGTAAAAAAACTCTTGTCCACCGCCCGGTCGAGCGAAGCCCGCCCGATCGGGCGCGAGAGTTCCCTAATTTTCCTTGACCATCTCCGCCCGATCGGGCGCGAGTCATCCGTTTGCATTACCTATTTCCAACAAAAAGGATGAACATGCTTCTTATGTTGGCATCCTTAGCAAACTGAGTATCAAACTATCAATAGGATAGAGGGACAAAACTGCACATTTCCTAAAGTCAGTCAGGCAGAAGTGAAGAAGATTGCCAATCCGGTCTCTGCATTCACGCAAGTCATATTAATCCGTGTGTGGAAGCGAACAGTTGGAGGTTTCTCTGGATAATCCTTGTCACAAAAGAGCTTCAACTGATATATTCGGCCTTCATGTACACTCTGATACAAAATCAGTATGAACCTTCAACTAAATTTCACAAAAAAACATTAACCATATATTACAGTTAATTTGCTGTTTCTAATCAGTAATCACTATTGAAGACACCAATAATTTACATCAAACAACAATATACTCCCATTACCCAGGCATTTATGAAAAGAAGAATCACGAACAAGGGCAGTAGAAACAAGTAGAAATGTGCAGACAAGGAGGTTGGAATTGGAGAGCGTACAAAGTAACAGTGAAAGAAGCTTGAAGGTCCTTGGACATGAAACATTTAGGATTTATTGTAACAATCGAAGAGGACAAGGGTACACAATTCCATCAAGAGCTTTCTCCCTAATACTTGAGCTAAAAGGAAAATATTCTACACACAAAACTACCTATGGAATATTTGCTTTCACTAGTATAAGGAAAAATCAAGTAGTTAAAAAAACACTGATCCTAAAAACAGAGAGATCGAAAATGTATAACTGAAGCATCTGCGATAAGACATGATTAGGAACAAGGCAGCAAAAAAACAGTGATAACCAAATCAAAACTTACATTGTGAGGACCAATTATAGTACCCGTCCAAGAACGCATGTAGATGTCATCACCTTCATCCATCCCATAGCTGACGCTCCCATCTCCAATCCCTTTTTCACCACGTTCAAGTTCTTCTAGCAACCTGAAGTTTCTGGGAACTGTATGAACATATCAGCAAAAGTACAACTGAGAATACATACTTCATAATGCATTTCAGTTGTAGTTGTACATGATATTAAACTGAAAGGAGGTATAAGTAGCCAATAACCAGAGAACTACTCACACAACCTTCTTGAAAGAAGATTCAATTGGTCATGCAATTAGAACAAGACAAGCATGAATTTCAATCTTCATAAAGATAGACTATACATATATGTATGCAAATATAAGAGATGAACAATTATGAAAGAGAGAAAATGGTGAGTGAATACCTTAGCATAATTTCCAAGCAAAAGGATTAAATAGGGACAAAATAATAAATCGAATCACTTTTTTGAGATAATAACCAAATTAATTGGCACTTGGCAGTAACACTAAACCATGAATGATGATGTAACAAATAAGCTTTCCCTAATGAAATCAGCCATTCCAATCTCTAAGATAAGCCAAATCCCAAAAAGGGAAAGTATTATAGATAATTTTGTGCCTAATTTTTTTTTTTGAAACATTGTGCCTAATATTAATGCAACTTTGACTGAAAAAAAATGATTTGTTACGTTGTTAGTAAAATCTAATAATTTTGTCCAAAAAAAAAAAAAAAAATTCTAATAATTGATCAAAAAAACTGCAACATCATAGCACAAAATTCATGTTGAAAATATCTAGAGTGGGAATTCAATTAAATCCTAAGCGAACTTGGTTAGTTATATGATCGAGTAATTGCAGAATTAAGATAGTAAAACAATGAATCAAACTGTAATACAGTGAATTGAATAAAATTAAACAGATAAAGGCTGAATTGAAGCGATGAAATTCCAAAGAGAAAAGAACGCAAAAGGAATAAAGAAGCTAACCAACGACGCTTGATCCGATGGTCATTTTTGGGGAACCTATCAAGATGATCAATAATGGAGGTTTCGTCACCGCACCCACTTCTATTACCTGTGTAATAGGATAAACCCCAATTCAAATTATTTTGACCATTAATTTCTGTTACTCTATAACAAATATTGACATGCGAAAAAACTTTCAAGACTTCAAGTGGGCTACTAAACTTCATATAACCTCTATTCCAAAACCAAAAAAAAAACAAAAAAAAAAAAAAAAAAAAAAACTTCGCATAACCTTGTAGGCCCAAGAGTATGTAGCCCAAATGAAACCTAATCAATTATCATATCAAGCCTATCTATCTTTATAACTAGCAAATGGTACTAAACCAATTTTCCCTAAACCCGTATCCAATCTCGTTGTATGCAACCAAATGTCTATTAACAAAGTGAGCTGGTCAATATTCACTCGCATGGACACACTAATTTAGTACTATTAAGGAGAGGAGAGAGAGTGATAGAGAGTGAAAAAACAAGTGGGGTAGCTTGTAAATGCAAAGTAAAAAAGTTACCCCAAAAGGAAACGTGTCAACTAAAAAAAAAACTTCCTAAAAAAACGAAAATAGTATGACTCAAGTTTAAAATTAGACCAGATTTGATACAACCTCATCATACCCGATCCCGGACATCTGAATTGATACCTCTAATTTCACTAGGGGGTGTTAGGAGTTTTTTTAAAAAGAAAAAGGAGATATTTAATCATTTTAAAAAGCACTTTATGGTGTCTGATTAGGAGTTGTTTGAAATCATTTTTAGAGTTAAAAAACTCATCTAAAAGAGCTATTAGCTTTTTTGTTGTTTTATACAGTAAAATAGGTAATGACTATAGTCAATAACTACATACTTAAAGACACACCAGCAATGACACGTGTTATTTTCTGGCTGGTGTGTCCTTTAGTTTTTTTGTTTTTGTTTTTTTTTGTTTTTTTTTTTTAATAAATTTCAATTAAAGAAATAAATCTAATTTACAAAAATTCCCTAACCTTACACGGACATTTATGACATCAATTAATGGTCATATATGGTTCCAAACGGCAATATATGACCCAATGATATATCCTATAGGGTCTTAAAACTTTTCGCCACCGAGCCCGTAACCTCAAAAATTCCACAAAAAAAGTGGATAATAGTCTACAATTTTGGAATTTTTTCACTTTTTTCGCCCAGAATCAAAAATTGCTGCGATGTTATGGTCCCTTATACCCTCCGGGAGTCCAATTAGGTGGGTGAAACCATCCAATTTACCTTAAGTCAATTTATCAATTCGCAACTTGCACCGATTTAGCCTACCATGGACATTTATGTAGGGCTGGCAAACGGATCAGGTCGGGTCGGGTTCGTGTTCGGGTCAATTCAATTTCGGGTTGAATACCCCTGACCTGAACCTGGCCCATTTAACTTTTCGGGTCAAAAAGCTCAACCCTAACCTGATTTTTTCGGGTTCGGGTCAACCCGAATCTGACCTGATTTTTTTTTTTTTTTTAAATCATTTTTTTCGATTTTGAATTTACTTTAATTTTCAGATCTAATATTTCCCATTTCAATTTTAAATATTAACATCTTAATTTTATAAAGAAAATCATTGATAAATAATCAAATTGATACCATCTACAAATTAAAAGTGTAGATCATAAACATATAACAGCTGCCCTTCTAGAAAGAGTCTTAATTAGATAATAAAATACCAAATTAAATTACATTACATAAGATCTAAAACTAAAAAAACATAAACGTTTCTCCAATTTCAATGATTTGCGGAAATATCATCTAGATATTGTTCGATGACGATGAGGTTGATGCTTGCAGCCTGCTGTTGTTAGATCGATCGAGCGGTAGAAAGTATAGAAAGAACATAAAACGCCGAAGGAGGCTGATGAAGCATAGAAAGCGTGATGTGATGGTGGTGGAAAAACGCCGAAGGATTAACACAACCTTGGATTGATGAAGGAGAGATTGAGATAACGCAAGGAAGTGTAGATTGATGAAAAGAATTCCAAGGATTAAATAGAAATTAAGGGTTTAAAAAAAGGTTGGAGAAGATTTTAGGGAATGAAGAGAGAGAAAATTTAAGAGAGAGAATGGAGGAGAATAAGAACGGCTGAGTGAAAGTGAGAAAGAATTGAGGAGTTAGGGTTTTTTATGTTAGTAGGTGGGCTCATTTTGAATTTGGGCTGGTATGATGATCTATTTAGGCTTTTTATTTTATTTTTTTCGGGTTATATGGGTCAATTTCGGGTTGGGATTTTCAACCTTAACCTAACCCATTTAAATTTCAGGTCGGGTTCGTGTCAACCCATTTAAATTTTCGGGTCGAAAACCTCAACCCTAACCCGCTATTTTCAGGTCGGGTTCGTGTCGTGTTTTCGGGTCGGGTCAATTTTTGCCAGCCCTACATTTATGACATCATTTAATGGTCATATATGGTTCCAAACGACATTATATGACCCTAAAATTATTCCCTAAATTCTCAACACTTTTCGCCACCGGGCCCCGCAACCTCCAAAATTCCTCAAAAAGCGTGGATAATATAACCTTCAATTTTGGAATTTTTTGACCTTTTTTTGCCCGAAAATAAAAATTGCCGAGATGTTTACCATGGTCCCTAATACCCTCCGGGAGTCCAATTAGGTGGGTGGAACCATCCAATTTGCCATAAAACGGTCAATTTACCAATTCGCAACTTGCACCGATTTTGTGAACTCAAGCCTACCATGGACATTTATGACATCATTTAATGGTCATATATGGTTTCAAATGGCATTATATGACCCTAATATGTATCCCCTAGGGTCTCAACACTTTTCTCCACCAGGTTTCGTAACCTCAAAAATTCCTCAAAAAGCATGGGTAAGCCTTCAATTTTGGAAATTTTTTGACCTTTTTTCGCCCAAAAATAAAAATTGTCGAGATGTTTACCATGGTCTCTAATATTCTCCGGGAGTCCAATTGAGTGGGTGGAACCATCCAATTTGCCTTAAAACGATCAATTTACCAATTCGCAACTTGCACCGATTTTGTGAACTTTAGCCTACCACGGACATTTATGACATTATATAATGGTCATATATGGTTCTAAACAGTATTATATGATCCTAAGATGTATCACCTAGGGTCTTAATACTTTTCAACACCGGTCCTCGTAACCTCAAAAATTCCTAAAAAAACGTGGATAATAGCCTTCAATTTTGGAATTTTTTTGACCTTTTTTTGCCCGAAAATTAAAATTACCGAGATGTTTATAATGGTCTCTAGTACCCTCCGGGAGTCCTATTGGGTGGGTGGAGCCATCCAATTTGCCTTAAAACGATCAATTTACACATTTTCATACACTCCTATATTGGCTATAAGCTTTCACGGGGCTTGTACGTAATCGAATAATGGTCATATATGGGTCGAAACAATATTATATAACCTCGGGATGCATCCCGTAATGTTCCGTGAAATTCCCACACCAAGTCCCGACACATCCTAAATTGTTCCGATTTTGTGTTTTATAGCCTTCATATTTGGCTTCCGTATATCATTTTTTCACCCGGCGAGATTATGCACTGATTTTGTGAGCTCAAGCCTACCACAGACATTTACGACATCAATTAATGGTCATATATGGTTCCAAATGGCGTTATATGACCCAATGATGTATCCCCTAGGGTTTCAAAATTTTCGCCACCAGACCCGTAACATAAGATTTCCAAAAAAAAACGTGGATAATAGCTTTCAAATATGGAAATTTTTAACTTTTTTCGCCCGGAATCAAAAATTGCCGAGATGTTAACCATGATCCCTAATACCCTCCGGGAGTCCAATTAGGTGGGTGGAACCACCCAATTGGCCTTAAAACGATCAATTTACCAATTTGCAACTTGCACCAATTTTGTGAACTTAAGCCTACCATGGACATTTAAGACATTATATAATGGTCATATATGGTTTCAAACGGCATTATATGACCCTAAGATGTATACCCTAGGGTCTCAACACTTTTCGCTAGGGGTGAGAAAAACCGGGTACCCGGTATAAAAGGATGGAACTGGTTAGATCCGGGTCCAAGAAATCAGAACTGGTATTGGAACTGATTCTTACCGGGTCCAATAATTGGGGAATTGGTCCCGGAACTGGTGGGAACTAGTTCCAGTATGGTGGGAACCAGTTCCAGTACCGGGTACTCGGTTTCTTCATACTTTTTTTTTAAAAAAAAAAGAACTTTAATATTTAAGACTAAATTGGCTACAATTCATCTGATTAACAAAAGTAATGATAATAACTTGGCTAAAAATTGGAGTAGATTTGAATATATTAAACAGAAAACCCACAAGTTATACAATTTCATAGAGTGATACGTCACAAATCCACTTTAAAAATAAAATCATGCTGAAAAAATTAAAATAAAAATTATCTACGAAAACAAACCTGTTTAACAAGATTGAATTAATGTAAAGAGTAACATCATATGTAGAATTGATTTAAAATAAGACAAAAAAAAATGAAAGGCTAACATTATTGTAGGGAATATTTCAAGCGTTAATCCCCTAGCTTGAACCCCACTGTGATCATACACTAAAGTACGGTGGCGTCCAAAAGGGAATAAGATAGAGCAAAAGAGTCGCCAACAAGTTTTTTTTTTAAGAACTTGTAAACCGTTCACAGGTGAAGGTTACACCCCTTAACGATCCAAGAGATCGTCGACTCCATAAGGTCTTGAACCAAATAAGGGTTCGGGGATGAAGGTACAAATCCAACCTAAAAGAGATTGAACCTGCCCTAATAATAGGTCTCTACTTTATTCTGATCGTATTCATGTGCGCTTTTTGATTAACATGCAATCAATAGGTTTAACCCTAAACCTGTTTATCTATGTTGATTGAATTTAATGCAAAAATAAATCTATTATTGGCGATCACTTGAATTATAATCAAATTAACCCTAAACAAGATTATTAATTATCTTATTAAGCGTGATTACAAGTACCGATTCCCTTTAAACATGCATAAAAGGTGTGATCAAGCAATAATAATATATATCAAGCAACATAATAATCATCATAATAAAATTATAATCATAATAATAATCAAAACAATAATCATCATAATAACAATCATATTAATCATAATAATAATCATGTTAAAGCATAATAATGGCAAGATCCTAGGCATGATACTAACAGGATAAATAACAAACCCTAACATGTCACTAAGAAATAAAAATCAATTCTTTAACCCTAACATGATACTAACATGAATAAATATTAAGAAGAAAATAGAAGGCATCATACTTTTAATCATACTTGATATTAAAGTTACCCTAGACATGATACTAGGAATCAAAATAACAATCTAAGCATAAACTCTATATCATAACATCAATAAAAACCATTAAAGTACTTACTTTGATGCCTCGTACCTCTTTCTAATAACAAAATACACACGTTAGTAACTTCAAGGAAAATAATAAACAAAACAACTAAATTAAATAATGGAAAGAGAGATTTGGGACCAAACCTTCAGAAATTAAACCTTTCAAGTCTAGGGCGAAGGCAACTTCGAATATGGCTAGGTGTATCTAGATCTAATAAATGCGGAATTTTATATTTGAGAGAAGGCTAGTTTAGAAAAGAGAGAGACAGAGTAATCAAGAAAATCTTGATGAGAGTTGGTAAAAATAGAGAGAATCGATGATTGTAGGTTGTAGATGGAAATTGATGAAAATTGGTTTTCGAAAACGGAGTTTTTAATACGTTATTTATAGAAAAAATCAACCAAAAAGATAAAAATATCAAAACAGAGTTTTGGCGCACGTAAAACCTGATCAAGTCCAATGCTGGCTATTGGCGCCAGGCGCCAACATTAGCGCCCGGCGCCAATGCTAGCGCCAGGCGCTACAGCTGTCGTTTGGCGCTGATTCGGAAAATCACGCGTTTTCTTAAAATCAGATAAAAATTGCCGTACAGGAGGATAAAATCATATTTCCCTAAAAAATGCTCTTTGATTTTAATTAAAACTCTGAAAATTCAACAAAAGTCAGTTTATCAATGCTAATTGAATTAGGAATGACAAGAACCTTCTAGAAGAATCTAGAAGACTAAAACCATTCCTAATTGCATTAGGAATGATAAACCTATAATAGGCCTTCCCCGAGATCATTGGGCCGCATATAAGGCTCAAAACGGGCCCAGTTTAGTAAATTGGCCATAACTTCCTCAATATTCATCGGAATAGGGCTTATAATATATCGTTGGAAAGCTCTTTCCAAGCCCCATCCAACTACACTACTATTGGACCCATATCATGGACCAACCAAACTGGATTAGCTATTTTCTTAAAAATAAGTTTTCAAAAACAGAGAGAAGAGAAAAGAAATTAAAACTATCCGCAACACTAAACTTTCCACACTTTCACTTCATTCGATTATGATTCGACGTGAAAGGTACTCATCACCGGGTTTGGTTTTGGGGAGACACAAATGGGTGTCTACAATTATTAATATGGGACATTTGAAAAAAATGAAGATGAAAGTGAAAGAAAGAAGGAAAGTAAGGGAAAGAGAAAGAAATGAGAGTGTGCGGCTGAGTGGGTGTTTTCTTTTTTAGGGTTTTACTTTTTACATAAGATTGTTAGATCAATGAGTAATATTAGTTATTGGGCCAAATTTAACATGGGTTTCAAATAACATGGGCTGCAAAATTTCTTAAGCTCTTCAGTAAAATCTAGTATGGAACTAATGAAACCGGGTACCCAGTGGGTATCGGGTCCAAAAGTTCAAGACTTGGAATTGGAAACGCATCGTACCTGGTCCTAATTTTTGGAACTGGACCTGGACCCAGTTGAACCAGTTCCGGGTCTGGAACCACCGGGTCCAAAACGATTCCAATTCCGGATCCGGGTACCCACAATTCTTGCTCACCCCTACTTTTCGCCGTCGGGCCCCGTAACCTCAAAAATTCCTCAAAAAGCGTGGATAATAGACTTCAATTTTAAAAAATTTTGACTTTTTTTCGCCCGAAAATAAAAATTGCCAAGATGTTTACCATAGTACCTAATACCCACCAAGAGTCCAGTTGTGTGGGTGGAACCATCCAATTTGCCTTAAAACGGTCAATTTACCAATTCGCAACCTACATCGAATTTGTGAACTCAAGCCTACCACGAACATTTATGACTTAATTTAATGGTCATATATGGTTCCAAACGGCATTATATGACCCTAGGATGTATCCCCTTGGGTCTTACCACTTTTCGCCACCAGGCCCGTAACTTCAAAAATTCCTCAAAAAGCATGGATAATAGCCTTCAATTTTGGATTTTTCTTTACTTTTTTTCTTTCGGAAATAAAAATTGTCGAGATGTTTACCATGGTACCTAACACCCTTGGGGAGTTCAATTGGGTGGGTGAAATCATCCAGTTTGCCTTAAAACAGTCAATTTACCAATTCGTAACTTGCATTTATTTTGTCAACTCATGCCTACCACAGACATTTATGAGATCATTTAATTGTCATATATGGTTCCAAAAAGCATTATATGACCCTAAAATGTATCCCTTAGGGTCTCCACACTTTTCGCCATCGGGCCTCGTAACCTCAAAAATTCCTCAAAAAGGGTAGATAGCCTTCAATTTTGGAATTTTTTGACTTTTTTTTCGCCCGCAAATAAAAATTGCCGAGATGTTTAACTTAGTCCCTAATACCCTCCGGGAGTCCAATTAGGTGGGTGGAACTAGGGCTGGAAAACGGATCAAGTCGGGTCGGGTTCGTGTTCGGGTCAGCTACCCCCCAACCCGAACCTGATCTATTTAACTTTTTTGGTTGAAAACTCCAACCTGAACCTGATATTTTCAAGTTCGGGTCAACCCAAAATTGACCTTATTTGACCTGATTTTTTATTTTGGGTTTTGAATCAGGTTGCTATATCCGGGTTGACCCGACCCAAACAACCTAATTTGTTTAAACAGTCTGTTTTATTTTAAACCACAATTAAATCCATACAAAAAGCTGATAAACATTACTTAACTCTTAATATATTACAAACCCAAGTCTATTTAATGTCAGATCTACATAGCAAATTACAAAAAGCTCAAAAGATATAAATGTTTTTACAGGTTATAAACAAAAACTTCAATTTCGGGCAGGCGATGCAAATGGTGGCGTACCATCCTTGTTCATGATAATAACAAGCTTTGCAATTGAGGATCTTGGCTTCTACAAAAGGAAAAAAAAAATAAAGATCGAGTTAATATCCCAAAGGCCCGATTCAACCATAAAAGAACTGAAGTAATAATATAAACACAATCGTATTTAAATCAAGTAGGAAATACTAAATAAACATACAAAAGATACGATAATACGAAGTAATAATACGAATTAATAGCGTAATAAAATATAAATCTGATGTATAGTAACCTCACACATAGATTATTGTTGTTGAAATTACCTTAAAGATTGATGATTGAAGCCCTTAAAGAAGCGTAAAGAGCTTGAGATTTTAAAGGGAGAAAATCATAAAATTAAGAGAGAGAGAGAGAGAGGAGGGGTGTTGAGCGGCTACAACTGATAAAAGAACCCTAGGGTTTTACTTTTTATATGGGCATGAATTTGGGCTTGGGCTGGTTACTTTAGGGGTTTTTTTAATTTTTTTTTTCCTTATTATTTTCGGGTTAGTCAGGTCAGGTTCGGGTAACCCGACCTTATTTTGACCCAATTATGTTTTCGGGTTAAGTGGGTCATTTTCGGGTTGAGATTCTCAACCTTAACCTAACCCATTTAATTTCGTGTTCGGGTTCGTGTCGACCCATTTAAGTTTTCGGGTCGAAAAACTCAACCCTAACCCGCTTTTTTTAGGTCGGGTTCGGGTCAGGTCAGTTTTTGCCAGTCCTAGGTGGAACCATCCAATTTGCCTTAAAACGATCAATTTACCAATTCGCAACTTGCATCGATTTTGTGAACTCAAGACTACCACGAACATTTATGACATCAATTAATGGTCATATATGGTTCCAAACGGCATTACATGACCCAATGATGTATCCCATAGGGTCTCAAAACTTTTCGCCACCGGGCCCGTAACGTAAAAAATTCCACAAAAAACGTGGATAATAGCCTTCAATTTTGGAATTTTATGAGTTTTTTCGCCCGGAATCAAAAATTGCTGAGATGTTTATCATGGTCTCAAATACCCTCCGGGAGTCCAATTAGGTGGATGGAACCATCCAAATTGCCTTAAGTCAATGTACCAATTCGCAACTTGCACCGATTTTGTGAACTCAAGCCCACCATGGACATTTTTTAATGGTCATATATGGTTCCAAACGACATTATATGACTCTAAGATTATTCCCTAGAGTCTCAACACTTTTCGCCACCGGGTCCCGTAACCTTAAAACTTCCTCAAAAAGCATGGATAATAGCCTTCAATTTTGGAATTTTTTGACCTTTTTTTTCCCGGAATTAAAAATTGCTGAGATGTTTACCATGGTCCCTAATACCCTCCGGGAGTCCAATTAGGTGGGTGGAACCATCCAATTTGCCTTAAAACGGTCAATTTACCAATTCGCAACTTGCACCGATTTTGTGAATTAATGCCTACCACGGACATTTATGACATCATTTAATGGTCATATATGGTTCCAAACGACATTATATGACCCTAAGATATATCCCTAGGGTCTCTACACTTTTCTCCACCGGCCCCAATAACCTCAAAAATTCCTCAAAAAGCGTGTATAATAGCCTTAAATTTTGGAACTTTTAAACCTTTTTTCGCCCAGAAATAAAAATTGCCGAGATGTTTATTATGGTCCCTAATATCCTCCTGGAGTCCAATTGAGTGGGTGTAACCATCCAATTTGCCTTAAAACGATCAATTTACCAATTTGCAACTCTCACCGATTTTTTGAACTCAAGCCTACCACGGACATTTATGACATCATATAATGGTCATATATGGTTCCAAACGGCATTATATGACCCTAAGATGTATCCCCTGGGGTCTTAACATTTTTCAGCACCGGGCCCCTTAACCTCAAAAATTCCTCAAAAAGCGTGGATAATAGCCTTTAATTTTGGAATTTTTTGACTTTTTTTCGCCCGGAAATAAAAATTTTCGATATGTTTACCCTGGTCCCTAATACCCTCTAGGAGTCCAATTAGGTGGGTGAAACCATCCAATTTTCCTTAAAACGATCAATTTACCAATCCGCAACCAGCACCGATTTTGTGAACTCAAGCCTACCACAGACATTTATGACATTATTTAATGGTCATATATGGTTCCAAACAGCATTATATGACCCTAAGATGTATCCCCTAGGGTCTCAACACTTTTCGCCATCGGGCCCCGTAATCTCAAAAATTCTTCAAAAAGCATGGGTAATAATAGCCTTCAATTTTGGAATTTTTTGACCTTTTTTCGCCCAGAAATAATAATTTCTGAGATGTTTACTATGATCTCTAATATTCTCTGGGAGTCTAATTGAGTTGGTGGAAGCATCCAATTTGCCTTAAAACGATCAATTTACCAATTTGCAACTTGCACCGATTTTGTGAACTCAAACCTACCACGGACATTTATGACATTATATAATGGTCATATATGGTTCCAAACGACATTATATGATCCTAAGATGTATCGCCTAGGGTCTTAATACTTTTCGCCACCGGGCCCTGTAACCTCAAAAATTCCTCAAAAAGCGTGGATAATAGCCTTTAATTTTGGAATTTTTTGACCTTTTTTTGCCCGGAAATAAAAATTGCCGAGTTGTTTACCATGGTCTCTAATACCTTCCGGGAGTCCAATTGAGTGGGTGGAACCATCCAATTTGCCTTAAAACGATCAATTTATTAATTCGCAACTTGCACCGATTTTGTGAACTCAAGCCTACCATGGACATTTATGACATCATTTAATGGTTATATATTGTTCCAAACGGCATTATATGACCCTAAGATGTATCCCCTTGGGTCTCAACACCTTTTGACACCGGGCCCCGTAACTTCAAAAATTCCTTAAAAAGCGTGGATTATAGCTTTCAATTTTGGAAATTTTTGACATTTTTTCGCCCGAAAATAAAATTACCGAGATGTTTATAATGGTACCTAATATCCTCCGGGAGTCCAATTGGGTTGGTGGAACCATCCAATTTGCCTTAAAACGATCAATTTACACGTTTTCGTACACTCCTCCTATATTAGCCATAAGTTTTCACGGGGCTTGTATGTAGTCGAATAATGGTCATATATGGGTCGAAAAAATATTATATGTCCCCGGGATGCATCCCGTAATTTTCCGTGAAATTCCCACACCAGGTCCCAACACATCCTAAATTGTTTCGATTTTGTGTTTTATAGCCTTCATATTTGGCTTCCGTATATCATTTTTTCACCCGGCGAGATTATGCATCTAAGTGTGTAGTCGTATGTGTGTGTGTGTGTGTGTATGAATGTACGTACGTATGTATGTATGTATGTATGTATGTTTGTTTGTATTTATTTATGTATTTATGTATGTAGTAAGGTTGGAAGAATTTGGATTTTTTCTTTCTCATTTTTGTTATTGATGTAAGTCATGCAAATTATAGAAAAAGGAAAATAAAAAGAAAAGTATGGAGGGTTGTTCATATTTCCAACCCAGAAGTTCTTTAATCTTCGATATAGGGATTGATTCCAATAGTTGGTTGGTACACATGGATCAATTGTTCTTAGGGTTCTCCCGTCAGTAAACTTTCTCTCTCTTCATCTAGAGCGTGAGAGATCGATTGGCAGATCTTTCAAGAATCCATTTTGGAGGGACTTTGCTGTTCTCTTTTGCTCGAAAATTGATAGAACTGGTATCATTGCGGAAGACTGCAAAGAAAGAGCTTGATTTTTCGAGGATAAATTCTATGACTATAAGGTTAAGATCTATGTGAAAATGCTTATGTCCATTTCAATTGTGAATGATGAGTGTACGTCTACGCTTATTTATATGAATCACTTATAATTTTCCATTTTATATCCTTCTATTCTGTTCATGTATATGTGAAATGGTATGTGATGAGGATTAGTTTGAGTAGACATGCTTGTTGCCCAGTTTCTGACCACAATCGAGTGGTCTAATACTCTAATTCAAGTTGTAGTTATGTTATTTTAGTTTAGAATGATTATTTGTGAAATGGTATGTAATTTAGTTATAAGCGTAGTTTGGAGTCCATGAGTGTAAGCTTAAGTAGGTCCGAATAAGTGTCAAAGTAGTCTAATTCACCTGCAGTTTATGCGTGTGATAAAGTTGTATTTCCTAGTTTAATTTGGGTTAGGAGTCAGATGTTAAGCCTGCAAACTAGGTCTCCTAGTTAGTTTAGGATATTATTGCTTCCACTATTGTACTATATATATTCATGCTTAAATCAATAGGAGAAGCAGAGGATTTTTTCATATTTGGCTTAAAAACGTGAGTTCTAGGTCCTCTATTCTTTTAGCAGATAACTCATCACGAACAATTATGACAACATATAATGATCATATATTGTTCCAAACGGCATTATATGACACCGAGATGTATCCCCTAAAATATCAAGACTTTTCTACACTGGCCCCGAAACCTCCAAAATTTTTCAAAAAACGTGGATATTAGCCTTCAATTTTGGAATTTTTTGACTTTTTTCCGCAAGGAAATAAAAATTTCAGAAATGTTTTTCATGGTCCCTAATACCCTCCGGGTGTCCAATTGGGTGGGTGGAATCATCCAATTTTCCTTTAAACGACCAATCTACCAGTTTAAAACTTTCGTTGATTTCATTAATTCAAGTCTACCACACACATTTATGACAACATATAATGATTATATATGGTTTCAAACGGCATTATATGACCCCGAGATATATCCCATATAATCTAAAGGATTTTCAACACCGGGCCCCGAAACCTTCAAAGTTTCTCAAAAAGCGTGGATATTAGCCTTCAAATTTGGAATTTTTTGACATTTTTCGCCCAGAAACAAAATTTTTAGAAATGTTAACCATGGTCCCTAATAACCTCCGGGAGTCTAATTGGATTGGTCGAATCATCCCATTTACATTTAAAATGGCCAATTTACCGGTTTACAACTTGCACGGTTTTCATTCACTCAAGCATACTATGCACGTTTACGACAACATATAATGATCATAAATGGTTCCAAATGGAATTATATGACCCCAAAATGTATCTCCTGAAATTTAAAGACTTTTCGACACTGGGCCCCGAAACCTCCAAATTTTCTCAAAAAACGTGGATATTAGTCTTCAATCTTGGAATTTTTTGACTTTTTTCGCCCGGAAATAAAAATTGCCGAAATTTTTACCATGGTCCCTAATACTCTCTGGGAGTCCAATTAGGGTGGTGGAACCATCCAATTTGCCTTTAAATGGCCAATTTACCGATTTATCACTTGCATGGTTTTTTTTAAGTCAAGCATACTACGAACAATTATGACAACATATAATGATCATATATGGTTTCAAACGGCATTATATGACCTTGAAATATATCCCATATAATCTAAAGGCTTTTCAACGCAAGGCCCCGAAACCTCCAAAATTTCTCAAAAAGCGTGGATACTTTTACAACTTGCAAGTATTTCATTCACTCAAGCATACTACAAACATTTATGACAACATATAATGATCATAAATGGTTCCAAATGGAATTATATGACCCCGAGATATATATCCTAGAATTTA